AAGGAAGTTGGCATTGTCGCCGAAGAGCTCCTGGCCAAGGAAGTCCTCAGCCGTGATGACATGATTAGACTCCTCGGTCCTAGACCTTATCCCGATTCAGGCGAGTTCGCCAAGTACTTCGGTGCCGCCCATGGACAGACCATTGCTCCTCCCGAGCCTATGCCGCCAATTGAAGGAGGTTCCGAGGGTGGTGCTAAACCGCCCTCCTAGGCGACGAACTATAGGAACAACGGGATATCCAAGGTCAAGCGAGGAGGGTGTTACATGTTTCTTTATGCCAGGATTTGTATTTATTGAACGATTGAAGCCTCTCCGCTGTTTTCACATCTTATTCTCCCCGTTGGGTTTCACTTGTATCATAAATATTAGGATTTTTGTGATGTCTCTGCATTTTCCTTCCTCTTCACTCATGTCGTTCGCGTTTCGACTTCTCGTCTTAGACTTATCTAGTGTACTCCTGTATATTATGTGACCCTCTAGGTCTTAGGTGGTGGAGTATCAATTCAACACCATTAGAGTGTTATACAACTTGGGTTTCTCATATTCCTTTGAACTCTGATAGCAGCCTTGTATTCACCTAGTAGCATACCTAATCAAACTTGATATAGTAGATCCAGTACTCCGACAGGAAACAGATATCAAAAATTCACTCAAAACTGGCAAACATATATATTAAGAAATTTCAGCCATCCGGTACCCCAGAAATTCAAAGTAAAGAGATATAATCAACAGAAATCTTGCATTGAAAACCCAACCTTCTCCCATCACTGACTTTTCTTGCCCTCCTGTGTCGCCTGATCACCAGCGCCTGCCGACTCAGTCTTGGACCGAGGGGCCTTCTTCTCACTGCCGTTGTACTTGGGCTTGACAGAAAAGCGAGGAACGAAGCGTCCCACACGCGCCTGATACTCGCTGTATTCAGGGTACTTGCCTGCACTGATCGACTCGGTCAGCCGGGTGCTCGACTGGAAAATGAGCATGTAGCCCAAAACTCCCAGTCCAGTCCACTGAATGTAGCTGTCGGTGCGGTAGCAGTTCCACAGGTACAGAGTGAGCCAGATGGCTTGCTCGGCGACAAAATTTGGGTGTCGGGACAGTGACCAGAGACCGCTAACGACGAAGCCGCGCTCCAGGTCCTCGGGAGTGAATTGGCCTTTGTACTGGTCGGGGATGCGAGCTGTCTTCTGGTACTCCTTCTTTGCGTTTTGGAAGTTCCATTGCTGCTGATCGGCGAAGTATTCGATGATGAGGAAGAAGAATGCAAGACGCGAGAAAATAAGGTCGGGGAGGCCGAACGGTTCAACTTCAGGGAGGTGCGAGAGGAGAATGAAGTTGTAGGTAGGTGCCGTCACAAGGAGAAGGAGCATTGGCTGAATGAAGCTGATGAATGTGACGTTGAGCAGGAAGAGCAGGAACCGGTTGTTGATCTGGGACTTGACAATCTCCCAGCGGTAGTCCTCAGAACCAATCTGATAACCTCCCTTACGCCAGTAGTTGAAGGTCAAGCGGATCTAAGCGGAATTAGAGTCGGTGGTAGATACAGAGCCGTCCCGTTAGTATAACTTACACTCCAGAGCAAAGTGATGACTGCGATTGTATCCAAGGTCTGGTTCTTAATGCCCCACATGCGCGCCCAAGCGACAAAGTGCACATTATACACAGACGGCAGGATACTCCAAAACCGATCAACTTGCGAATAGTTGCGGTTAAATTCCGCGGCCACGACGAAGAGGACCCATAAAACCAAAGTGAATCCGAGCGCCGAGATGAAAGGGTTTGTCGAAAGATAAATATCCTTCAGAGCGTCCACGTCTTTCGCTGCGGCGGCCACTTGCAGCTGCGCAGGAAGCGTTGTCAACTGCGACAGGAAGGGCAGCACGGTGCGGTTGAAAGAGGCACAGTCCACAACAGAGTGAACTTGAGGAAGTGGGATCGCCATTCCGAAAGACTTCAGAGCAGGTATCGCAGTTAAGTTATTGCACACCCGACGATGATTCTGAGACGTTTCCTTGTCGATCGAGGAGAATCAAAACATCGAGGCAAAACAAATGAGATGGATGCCATCATGACAACGCGGACGAGCGTTCTCATTGGACAGCAAGCTTACCGCCTTGGGCGACGACCGTTGGGGATGACGACACGGCTGCCTCAGGCGTTAAGGCTCTCAGGCGTACAGGCAGAAATCTACTATGTCCGTTTCTGGAAGTTGACCGCGTCTTTTGCGCGTCTCTAATGTTCCTTTTCTCGAGGAAGCAATAATGTCGGGTTCGTGACCTGAGTGTCAACAAGGGCAAATCGAGCATGGCTTAATCGAGAGTTCTGAATTGACGGGCCATTTGCTATGCCTGTCCCAAGGATTCTCTGCGTGGCAGAGAAACCTGCCATCGCTAAAGCTGTGGCTCAGCATCTTTCTGGGGGTTCCATGCAAACTGTGAGTGACCGTTGGCTTAAGACGGCACGGGTTATTGAAGCTATTGAAGTCACATATACTGAGACAAACATAGATATCTATACACGGTAATAAATATGTGAAGAATTATTTATTTGAGTTCAACTTCGGTGATCCCTGGGGCACCTGCTCAGTCACAATGACCAGCGTCTTGGGACATTTGATGGCCCTCGACTTCGAGAGTCAGTACAAAAGCTGGCTCTCATGCCCACCGGGCGCACTCTTTGAAGCTCCTGTGCGCGAATTTGTGGAAGAAGTATGCAATGCCAACCTCTTGTTTTCGGTCCTCAATGGCCTGGTCACGGGTATTTCTTGGACCACGCAGCAAGGCTAACTCCGTGTATAGGACAAGAAGCCAATCGCAGAAAACATTAAGGAGCAGGCCAGAATGTCCAAGGCTCTATTTATCTGGACTGACTGTGACCGAGAGGGAGAGCACATCGGTACCGAAGTCCGCAAAAAAGCCAAAGAGGGAAACCAACGTATCCTGGTCAAAAGAGCCCGATTCAGCAACACAGAGAGGGCGTGAGTGTATATGGATGATATTTAGCTCTTTTCCATCAGCAATGCTCACCCGATAACAGGCATGTTCTACGCGCTGCTCGGGCCCTCATAGATGTGGATGAGAACCAAGCAAATGCAGTTGCTGCCAGAATCGAACTCGACCTTCGAATTGGTGCTGCATTCACCCGATTGCAGAGTCTTCAACTACAACGTATGTGTGTTGATCTGGCAAATAAACTAATCAGTTACGGTACGTAGTTGGGCTACCTCTGAGTTTGTCTGATTCCAGTAACAATAACTGACTGAATCACCAGGATCATGTCAATTCCCCACACTCGGCTTTGTTGTTGATCGATATCTACGAGTGAAGAATTTCAAGCCGGAGACTTTCTGGGGAATTAAGGTGGTGCACGTCCAAGAAAGAAAAAAGGTCAACTTCTTGTGGAGGAGAGTCCATCTTTTCGACAGGGCCGCCGTGACCGTCATGCTGGAAAGGTGTCTGCTAGCAAAGACCGCTAAAGTCACAAAAGTCAACCAAAAGCCTACCAGCAAATGGAGACCTCTGCCGTTGACAACGGTTGACTTACAGATGATGGGTAGTAGGTACCTTCGCATGGACAGTTCTGCGGTCATGAAGGTATGCAGTCTGTACACTATTCTTAACCTCTCACCGTGAGGCTCACCAAGAATTAGGCCGCAGAATCTCTCTATACCAAAGGCTACATCAGCTATCCTCGTACTGAGACGGATCAATTTGACAAAGGGATTGATTTAAAGAAGTTAATTGAGAAGCAATTCCCAGATAACAACTGGGGTGAATACGCCCGAGGGTAAGAGTTCTTTAAAGCGGACATTCTCCAACATTACTGACTCTCCCAACTACGAAGTCTCATCAATGGCGCGTTCAAGACTCCTCGTTCGGGACGCCACAATGACCGCGCGCATCCACCTATCCACCCAGTATGCTGGGTCTCACCAAGTGCACTGAACGCTGACGAGAAGAAGGTGTACGAGTTCGTAGTTAGGCGATTTCTCGCATGCTGCTCTGATGACGCAAAAGGCCAAAGCACCGAGATCGAGATCCAATATGGCGACGAGATGTTTCACGCCAACGGCCTGATCGTTTTGGAAAAGAACTACCTTGAAGTTTACGTATACGACAAGTGGGAGAGTAGCCAACAACTGCCCAACTTCCGAGTGGGTGAAGTTTTCGTGCCGACTGAAGCCAACATCTTCGAGGGCAAGACAACGGCCCCCAACTACTTGACCGAACCAGAACTCATCGGGCTCATGGACGCGAACGGAATAGGCACGGACGCCACCATGGCCGAACACATTGCCAAAATCAAGGAGCGCGAGTATGTCGCCGTTCATTCGCGAGGAAGTGGTCGGAACGCTGTGAAGGAATTCATCCCCACTCGCCTAGGTATTGCCTTGGTGGAAGGCTATGACAACGTTGTCGCCAATCTACCGGATAAACCGTCACTCAGCAAGCCATTCCTGCGTAAGGAAATGGAGCTCCGTATGCGTGAGATCTGTGCAGGCTCCAAATCGCGCCAGGAGGTTGTTCAAGAGAGCCTGGACATGTACCGCGAGGTCTTCATTCATACTCAAAGACGTATTGATATGCTGAAGGCAGCCTGTCGAAAATACCTGATTGAGCAGGCCACCGTTTGAAATTTTGTTGAGGTTTCCTGCATCGTTGATTGGCGTTGAGGCTTGCTGTGGCCTATTGACTTTACGATATCTGATACCCTTGATTGATTAGATTTTCCTTTCACCAGACCGAATCAACATGAGAAATCTTACATTTGCAACCACGTGAACAAACATGACTTTTTCCAAGGTAGCAAAATTCGGTCTCAGACAGCAGAAACCAACAAAGCAACGTGCATAGAACACCAACTCAGGATTCTCCAAACTGAATCAGACAAAAGACAAGTAATTCTGGTGGCAAAAGAGCAACAAACAATCACAAAAACAAACCATAGAGCTAAATCAAAGAAGTCTACGGAAAGAGCATCAATCCTGAACTATGCCCTTGAGTTCAAAAGGTTTCACCAAGGTCTCCTTTCGAGTTCTTTTCGGAGGGCAAAGAAACACTCTTTGATATCTGCGCGGTTGGAGACTCATCATCGGCCCACCTGCTTTTGCTCAGTCCAGCAGAAGTGGGTGGCTTTGATGGAGCTTGGCCTGAAGCCGGGCTAGCCCACCTACTTTTGCCCATTTCTGCAGAAGCGGGTGCATCCAGCTTTGGAGGGGCTTGGGCTGAAGCTGGGCTAGCTGACTGATCTCCTACGATCCCTCCATGAGTAGGTGTTTTGGACTGAGCCTGCGTCGGAGTTGAGGCCCACCTGCTCTTGCTCATTTCGGCAGTGGTTGACTTTGAAGGCGATTGAGCTGAAGCCGCGCCAGCTCCTTTGCCCTTCTCGCGCTTTGCGGAGAAGGTAGATGCCTCCGGATTAAAACCGGGTGTTCTTGGGGTGTGCTCCTTAGATGATTTGCTCTTCGCGGACCCCAGTGTCTGAGACGACTGGGTTCCGTCTGATGTCTTCGGTTGCGCTTGAGTCGCAGTTGAGGGAGCCAACATACTCTTGCTCATTCCGGCGGGGGCAGACTCAGTGTTTGGCTTCGAAGGTGGCTGGGTTAGAGTTGGCGCAATCAACTGGCCCCGTTCAGTCCCTCCATGAGTAGGTGTTTTGGACTGAGCCAGGATCGGAGTTGAGGGAGCCCACCTACTCTTGCTCAGTTCAGCAGAAGTAGGCTCACTGTTGGGCTTTGGAAGCGACTGAGTCGAAGCCTGGCCCTTCTCGAGCCTCGCGGAGGTAGATGTCTCGGTCTTCAGACGGAGGGGTTCTGGGGCGTGCTTCCCAGATGATTTGCCCTTCGCAGACCCCGGTGTCTGAGGAGACTGGGTTCCTACTGATGCCGTCGGTTGCGCTACAGTGTCTTTGTGGGTTTTCCATGCAGCAGGTTCGTGGCCCTTCTCAGCCTCTTGATTATGTTCTGCTCGCGATTGTGCTGTGTCTGCTTTGTCGTGCTTTGCAGCTTCATCACCCCGGCCTGCTACGGGCGATTGCTTTGGACAACTAAGTGCTCTGGGGGCTGGTTTTGAACTCCTCGGACTGATCAGCTCAGACTCGGCCCTCGCGCGGCGTTGATCATCGGATGTCTGTACTGGTTCGTTTTTTTGAACTTCGCCCTTTGGGGTTCCTGCTTCATCCTGTGTTGGTTGGGCTTTCTCCTTTGGCGATTGGGCCTCGAATCCTGCGCCGCGTCCTTTTTTCTCTGAAGGCCATTCATCGACAAAGTCGGTCCCGGTATTATGTGCGCCATGCTCTGCAGCAAGATCCTCATCGTTCGAATCAGGCTTTTCGACAGGATCCTGGTTCCTATCGTGCGCAGTCACTAGATCAGCGGCGCTCAAGTCAAATTTGATGCCAAGAGCGGCCATGCATTTTTCTAGGTGTCCCCAAATACTCATGTTCATGTTCCTTTGATGCCACTTGTATTCTTCGAGCTTATCCTTGGTTTCGGTTGATATATGCATCCGGGCATTCGTTTCCAAGATATTCCTGGTTACTCTGCTGATCTTCTGCTTGATTCCGTCTTCAAGCTCCTTATTCCACTCCAAGGAACGGTTGACGGCCTCACGCAGACTTTTGTGTTCCAGGGCGTGTGTGTCGAGGTCTTTTCTGAAGCTTTGTACCTCCTTTGCTGAATCATCGATCGCCCTTTCGATATCTTCCAATTGTTTGGCAAGTTCAGGGTCATTGTTCTTCGACTTGATCGCAGCGTTCTTGACTTCATCCAAAGCTGCCATGAGCCCGTGGAGTTGTTTTTTCATTCCTTCAGTTTGTTGCTCGAGGTGCGCAGCTATTTGTTTCAAAGCTTCTTTCACTTGTGTTTCGGTGACGGTTGAGTCGAGCTTCGACTGGATTTTCGCATGCGAATTCTTCAGACTGATTACGGCTTGGTCGAGTTCGTCAAGTTCTTGTTCAATCTGCTTCTTGTCAAGGGGAGTCACTGAAGCCGCACGCTCGAGGGATCGCACACGCTTCTCTAGGCTCTGCAGTTGCTCGTGAATGACGGTATCGACACCAACCTCCGAGTCATTGCCCTTGCGGGAAAGTGATTGCAATGACGTTCGGAGATTCTCCATGTCTGCTTTGAGACCGCCGATAGTCTCGTTCAGCTGTTCCTGATCGACGACACCAACAGAAAGGGATTGTTGTACCTTTGCAAGTGCGGACTCAATGTTACCAATCCGCTTCTTCGCTTCTTCGCCAAGGGCTGAAATATGATCATCCACTGTTCCGAAAATGCGCTTTTCCATGGCCGATGTCGTTGCCTCCAGGGTGTCCTTGGTGAGAAACTCTTGCTGGTACAGACCAAACTCCTCAGTAGGATCTTCAAGCTTCTGATCTCCTTGGCCATGGCCGTAGCCATCTAGCGGTTGTTCGTGTAGGTTGATTCTGTGGTCCACGCGTCTGCTGAGTTGGTTCAGCACCTCCATGGCACTTTTCACTGCTTCGCTGCAGAACCGAAGGTGACCATCAAAGACTTGGGCGAGTGTCCTTCTGTTGGGTTCCACATCGCCTCCTTCCTTGCATGCAGCGCCCATGGAATCGGACTGGAGAATTCTTTGGAATTGACGCAAGTTCTCTGGAATCTCCGTAATCTTTGCTCTGATCTTGACGATGTCGTGAGAAATATCGTCTTTGATTCCCAGAGCGACAGCAAAGCGAGAGATACGAATCCAATTCAGGACCTCCTTCTCGCTTGGAAGGTCTGTCGACTTGTCGGATTTCTCAACCGAGGTAGCATCGGTATCATGTTGGCGGCTGCCTTGGGTGAATCCCTTCCAGAGTACGAGAATGATAGCAATCAGTACAAGAGCCGTGAAGAAGACAGTCCAGTACAGATCGGCAGAATTCTGATCGAGAGGGATGTCAAAAGATCTTCCGAAGAGCGTGTGATGTAACGTGGTAAGTGGAGGAGGTTGATCACTGCAAGAATTGCCAATATTTATGGGACAAGAGGTCGTCAAGTTTGGTCTCTGAACATATTGATCCATAACATTCTTCAGCATGTCACCAAGCTCAATTGAAGTATTCTGTGCAGGGCTTTCACATGAGCTTTCGCATAGGCTTTCACAATTTGCAGCTTCGGGAAAGTCAGAAAACACGAGAGAATGCCAATACCTGAGGGTGTAGATGGTGCTGGACACCTGAACGGAGCCAACAAGTCGCTCAAGGAACGTGTGATGAGGATCAACGACGGTGAAGGGGACATGCCAGTAGATTCCAGCGAGATTGGTGGCTAGAGAACTGAGCACGAATATCGTGGCCTCCATCCTCAGCCAGGAGGAAGGAGTCTGATTTGAGGAGGCAATATGAGATTCGAGTATTCTTTCGAGTCGGAGGCAATACTTGCAATGTTAAGAAGAGACAGGAGCGAGGAAAATCAAACAGGGAAACCGGTTCAAGACGACATAGTCCTTGGGCGTTACGTAGGATATATAACCTCGGACGGGTCTTCCTTGTGGACGAGAATATACCATGGCAGCGAACGAACGTTCTTTGACAGATGAGGCTCCGGGAAGATGCCCTGTTCGCAAACGAGTTGAGTCAAAGAAATAGGGCTTCGAGAGTGAACAGAGTCTAGCAAGTCGTGCTTCAATTGTGTCCAGTCGCGAAAGAATGTGAAACCTCGAAAGACGGAGTGCTGTCGAAGAGGGCAAAGCAGATCGAACAAGGGCAGGCGGGGTACAGCAATTTGTGGTTGAGTCTAAAATAGTACAGATGATAGAAGGGAAAGAAAGAGGAATACAAGACATGGTTTATTGTCTCTGAGATCGCAAACGCCTGCCCTTTATGGATACTTTCTTTGTCCTGGGGGCTCAGAGCAACCACAACCGTCAATACATTCGGATCCAAGCCAAAGGAATACCTACACTTCCCGTGCTAGAGAAAAATTAGATCATGTCTTTGACATTCTCATTACGGATACATTCATCGATTGTTTTAGAAGTTTACCCGTGGCACTCAACCTTTGAAGGAGATCTAGCTAGGTGCGTCCATCTGACAATGCCACCTAGCTTGACTGATTGAGGTACTCCTATAACGAACAATAATCAATGCAGACACAGAATTTCGTGCTCCATGCATTTCGACCTCCTTCCCAAAAAGATAATCTAGTGCAAGGAGGGGTTGGGGGACTGGCGAGCCGCATCGTGGTCTTGCTTGTGCATGCCGTGGCCCCTGTTTCGGAACGGGCATCTGCGCTTTCTGGGCCCAGACTCGCTTCTCACAGATCGTTGACCATTGTTCTCTGTCATACGTTTTGCGACTCTCTCGCGCCGAATTCTTCGGCCTTCTTCGATTTCCCCTGGTGTGGGTGCAGGGTATCCAGACGCTGTTGCCCACAGCGCCATTCTCGAGATTGGCTCCTCGTCTAGTGCTCGAGGCTTCTCGCTCACAGTTAGGCTTCCAGAGTCGTTTCTGTCCACTTTGTCTTCGATGGCCTCATATTCAGTCTCAGTAACCTGAGCAGTCGGTACTTCCTCTGGGGTCGCCATGATATGCTTGACAGGAATCTGTATATTACCATTCTTTTCAGCCTCGATACTGGCATGAGCGAGAAAGTTGCCCATTTGCTGTCTCCAGCGTTGAAGCTCAGACTGGAAATCCTTGCACTCCGCTTCAATGGCTTCGGGATCTGGAAAACTCCTCCGTGCGCGTTCCAAGCTGTCCGCAAAATTCCTTACTTCCAGGACATGGTGATCAAATTCGTTCTGAAATTGTGTCTCGAGAGCATGTCGCAGTTCTCTGACTTCAGTATCAAGGAAGGTGGGTAGTTCGGCAGAAACCCGCTCATGCTCCATCGCTATTTGCTTCATGATGCTGTCAATTTGGCCGTTCAGCATTGAAACAGCGGAGCTCATCCTTTTCAGCAGGAACGCTTTCCGGGCACGGACTTCGTTGATGAATTCTAGAATCTCAATGTTCGCTACTTGGAGGCAATGCCTGCGGGAATACCAAGTGAATATGGATGTTACTGCTGGTATGATCAACAGAACAATCATGACGAAAAGCAAAACTTGCCGGTTGAGAAGTAAAACTTCACTGTAAAGACTCCCGAAAGTTGATCCATTGGTAAGATGGCCCGAGGTGGAAACCGGACCCTGACTGATTTGACCGCGCCATAGTGAGCCCAGCTCACTCAAACCCGGGTCAAACAATGTGTGGTTCTTGTGGTGGAGGTTATCGGTCCCTAGGCACGCAATATCGGACTCAGGAACTGGCGTGGAAGCGGAAGATGGCTTCATGTATGATGTGTGTAGTGCCCGCCACTGATCAAGCTCTTTGATAATACCGTCAATGTTGAAAGCAGACATTTTCCCGAAAGCTCTCGAAATATAGATTTTGGCGCAAGCCAGGTGTTCTGAGATCGATTGGACCGCTGATATGAAGATAGGGCTGACGACGGTGACTACCACAATTGCAACGGACAGAATAGACATTTTGCAAAGGCTGGTCGATGACAGTCAAGCTGAGAACGGGGTTAAGGAGAAAGAAAATTGCGCAAGGAGAGATATCGGCAAGGGGAGAACAGCCTTCTGGTTTCTGATCCTGTCAAGATGAAGTGAGGAAGAGGGGGAGATAAATATCCAGATGCCCAACGATCATCAATGGGAAACCGTCACCTGTGCAACAAAGAGTTGAATGGCATTCAATTTGAAGCAGTAATTCCGCGTACATGTCTCAGTTGACTCAAAGCGTGGTATGCAGACGTGCTTGACAAGGATAACAGAATAAAACACCTAAATGGGTTCCTGATCTGCTGCTTGTTTTTAGGTTAGTGACATAAGTTTATGGCCGAAGTCAGAAACCTTGCGAGCTAAACACTGGCGGATAATGTGTCTCAATACCATGACGGCCCTCACAGTAGAACTCAGGTAAATGTGCAATCCACTTCAACAGAAACGAAGTATCTAACGAGTTTTCTTTATATTTGCAGACGGGTTGATGTATGGTCACCTTGCTTGAACGATATATACAGAGCGTTAAGGACATAAAGAGATAAACCAGTAAGCAGTCCTGGGGTTAGCGATCAACCGAGAACTTGAAATCAGAGAGCTCTTCAAGACAAGCGCTTGCTGAGAGCTGCACCGTAATAGATCGTAGCAGCAAGGCTGATCATGTTGATCAGACTTGACAGACCATGAAGTCTGCCGAATTTCTTGTTCAGAGCCATCATCTCCTTTGAGTGGGGGGCAGGGTCGTAGCTCTTTTTGCCATCACGAGTTTCTGCCAAAAATTTTAGCAGCCAGTAAGTGAGATGAGATAACAGGGCCCGGAAGCATACCCTGGTGCTTCCTCTCGTTCATTGTCCGGACAGTGAGTGGGCGCAGGATGACCTGATTGATCAGCCCAGACACTGCAACAGTTGCGAGAGGCAGGAGTGTTCCAAATCGATTCTCAGGAGCAAGAATTCCGGAAAGGCCATTGAGCTGGCCGCCTTTACTGGAAGTCAAGGCGATAACTACGGGAAGTGCGGACTGCAGCGTGAAGTACACGGGGAATACCGAAGTCTGCAATGTTGAGAACTGAGGGCGAGGGAGCACTCGGAAAGCGATAACGCCCCCAATAAATGTCTGTTGCGCCTTGATGTTAACAGCTGAATATATAAGCTGCCAGATTGAGGTTCACCTGGAACACTTGCACACCCAACAGGGTACCGTAGCTTGCGGCAGAAGTCAGCGACATGTTTACATCTTGATAACCAGGGACACTGTACCTGAGGAGATGGTAAGGACGAGGGTCAGTCATATTGCCTGTTTTAACTATCAATGATATGCTTTATAATCCGTCAACGGACGAGCTGGGATCTGCTGCAGCAGCGAAGACGAAGTGACGGGGTCAGACGATTGTCGGAGGTGGAGAGCTGGGGGAATGCCGGAACATATTTCGACGCACTCTGTCCGTGTGATCTCATTGTTGCAACGGCTTTTATGGGCGCGGAAGTATGTACACACACTACATGCAAAATAGACGCACCTTTCCTTTAATGATGTCATGTGCCTTCGCGTTCTGCCTAACTCCCAATCGGGAAATATCGCGCGTCTGCCTGGAGTGTCGTGTTTGTCTATCCATCAATGAGCAACCTTTATCTGGCTCTTTCTTCCCTCATCTCCAGACTCAATTTGTCTTTCGGAGCAACTTGAGATCATGGCGGAAAAGGAAGCAACAGTCTATATCGTGGATGTAGGGATCTCCATGGGAGAGAAGCGCAATGGCCGATCAATGACGGATCTGGAGTGGGCCATGCAATATGTTTGGGATCGCATCACAGCAACTGTAAGGATACTATTAAGCATGAGAGGTTATGAGCGTGCGGCTAATTGTTGGGAATTTAGGTGGCCACAGGTCGCAAAACAGCCACAATCGGTGTAATTGGCCTCAAAACAGACGGTAAGACGCCAATAGGTCATCAAGTGTCGTCTCTGTTCTGTACTAACGCAGGAGAACAGAGACCTCCAACGAGCTTGATGATGATCCTCATTTTAAACACATATCGGTGCTCTCTGAGATTCAACAGTAGGTTTTTTCGTTACGCAGGCTTCATTTACTCATATAATGTACCAGGTTTCTTATGCCAGATATCCGAAGATTGGATGCATTAATCAAGCCGAGCAAGACTGATAAGGGAGATGGTAAACAACTTTCTCATATTTTCGTTACTCAAGATATGGGAAAGTACTCTGACTCTTCCAAGCTATTTCCGCCATCATTTTGGCTATCCAAATGATCGTCACATATTGCAAGAAACTGAAGTACAAGCGGAAAATTGTGCTGGTCACAAATGGCCTGGGATGGATGAGCAATGAGGATCTCGACCAGATAACTAAAAAAATCAAGGAGGACAACATCGAGTTGGTTGTTTTGTTAGTAATACCGGCAGAGGGCATGAGGCAGTGTGCTAACTATATTCAGAGGCACTGACTTTGATGATCCTGAGTATGGCTTCAAAGAGGAGGGAAAGGATCCGCGGAAGGTAACGACTTATCGTGCTACCAGAAACGATCTTTCTGACAGAGAATCATAGGCCGAAAACGAAGCTCTTCTCCGCGGACTGGTTGAAGATTGTGACGGCGCATATGGAACGCTGGAACAAGCTATCTCAGAGATGGACATTCCACGGGCCAAGAAGGTCAGAACGGTAGCGACTTTTAAAGGATTTCTACAACTAGGTAATCCGGAAGAGTATGACACTGCTCTCCGCATTCCGGTCGAACGATATTATCGGACATATGTGGCAAAGCCTCCAAGCGCAAGTAGCTTTGTGCTACGCTCTGACGTGGGAGCCGAAGAAGACCAAGGCGAATCGTCTGAAGCACCAAAGTCCCCTCCCGAGGGGGGTGCTCTCACAAGCGTCAGGAACCTCAGAACATACGAGGTCCCTGATGAGAATGCTCCTGGGGGTAAAATCGACGTGGAGCGGGAGGAACTAGCCAAGGGGTACGAATACGGACGGACGGCAGTACATATCAGCGAGACAGACGAGAACATCACCACCCTCGAAACATACGCAGCATTGGAACTCGTTGGGTTCATCCAAACTGACAAAGTGAGTTTAACTCCTCCGTTGCACATGGGAAGCAGATAGCTTATGCTCTATTCTAGTATGATCGCTATATGCACATGTCGACAACCAACATTATCATCGGGCAACGTGGCAATGATAAAGCCTCACTGGCGCTCTCATCCTTCATTCATGCTCTCTTTGAACTAGAGTGCTATGCTGTAGCTCGATTGGTGATCAAAGAGAACAAGCCTCCCGTCATGGTGTTGCTTGCTCCTTCAATTGAACCTGACTACGAGTGCCTCCTTGAGGTCCAGCTACCATTTGCCGAAGACGTCCGAACGTATCGTTTCCCCCCTCTGGATAAGGTAATCACTGTCTCTGGCAAAGTAGTAACCGAGCATCGAAATCTGCCGAACAAAGATTTGCTTGATGCAATGAGTGAATATGTGGACAGCATGGAACTTGTTGATACCGATGAGGATGGGTAAGTCCGTCGATTAGCATCATTCTGCGCTCCCTCGTTAACGTGCCTCCAGGAATCCGGTAGAGGGTCTTCCCATCGAGGACTCATTTTCGCCGGTATTACATCGCATTGATTCTGCGATCCGTTACCGTGCCATACACCCAGATGATCCAGTGCCTCCGCCTTTAAAGAATCTAACAAAGCTTTCTCAGCCGTCAGAAGACCTCGTAGAGAAATCCAAGGCTTATCTACAAAAGCTTCTGGAGGCCGCTGATGTGAAAAAAGGTTGGCTCCAAGCAGTCTCCCTCGGCAGGGGTCCACCATTTGCTGACCAGTTTCTAGTACCGCCCAAAGTCAAAGGACGCAAGCGTGTTCGTGAGAGCGAGAAACCGCTTTCTGGTCTCGACGTTGATGCTTTGCTCCACCAAGAGAAACGCGCTAGGATCTCTCCAACAAACGCGATCCCCGAGTTCAAACAGACTCTGACACAGGCAGAAACCATCGAGACGATCAAAGACGCCGTGAAGCAGATGACATCGATCATCGAGGATCAAATCAAGAATAGTCTTGGCGATGCGAACTATGACAGGGTTGTCGAGGAGATGGGAGTAATGCGGGATGAGCTCGTTTCGTTCGAGGAGCCCGCGTTGTACAATGAGTTCCTAAGGCAGCTGAAAGACAAGTTGTTAAAGGAGGAACTAGGTGGTGATCGGCGAGAACTTTGGTGGCTACTTCGACGCAGTAAGCTGGGGCTGATTAGCCAGCGTGACTCTGATCAGTCAGATGTGACTGAGGAACAGGCGAAGGAGGTAAGTGTTCGATGTCTCTAAGCTCAAGAGGCATTTACTAACATTCTATAACTAGTTCCTGTCGGCACAATCTGACAAATCTTGATGCAGAATGTATTAGCTAGCAATGACGGGAAAGTATGACAATAGATACCAATTTGACGAGCTTCCAAACGTGCTGCCGCTAGAGTAGATCAAGATAGTATAAAGTAATAACCCGCTCAACCGCCGAAAATAACATGCAAGTCGCTCCTCTAAATGGTTCAGAACTGATGAATAGAACTGTGTAGAAGTGGAAGTGCCCGTGACACGCCAGACTAAGATATTTTGCCAACCCTCTTCTTGCCGATTTCGATCTTCTTTTCTAACCTTTAGGCGACAGACGTTAGAATGGTTTATCAAAGGTGTAATCAGGGTTGCAACATACCTGTCTGTATCTTCATCCGTGAGCTTCAGAAGCTCATTTTGAATCTCCAACTCAGCATTGATAGCGATCCCTAGTTCCTTCTGGCGTTGTACAATCTTCCTCAACTCTTCGATACTCATATCTTGATCCTCCATCGTCTGCTTCTGCAACTGTAAAACACCTTGGTTATCCAGCTCGCGAGTCCGCTCCGTCTCCTTGCCCAGCACCCTCCCCGAACGAGCTGGCTTCCGGCTCGCAGACCCAACCAACGCCTCCTTGTCTTGTATCGATGCAACCGCATTATCAATCCTACTCTTAGCAGCCATCGCATTCAACAAATCCTCCAACCCATTCTTCTCCTTCCTCGCATTAACCAGCAAGTCCTTCCGCCGTCGAATCTCCCCATCGCCCAGCGCATTCCCCCCTCCCCAAGCACCCCTCTTCCCAGACGCAACAGAGCTCGCATCCGCATTCCCATCCCCAAGATTCTTCAGCCCGTCCTCCAACGCCCCGATCAGACTTCCAGCGCGCACAAGACTGCTCTTCGCCCGCGCAGAACTCTCATGCTGCTTCTGCGGCGTCGTCTCCTGGTCCCGTCTTGTAAGATGCAGCCGCGCATCATGCAAATGCGCCTTCATGTCGCGGTAGCAGTCAAGCCACAGCGTCGGGTCAGTAATCGCGCTCTGGGTGCCCGCCGCACCGGGCTCCGTGATGGCCGCATGCAGCTTGGCGGAGGTTGTGGCGCTGCCGTTGCCGTTGCCGACGGCGGAACTGGGGAGATTCAGGAACGCGCGCCAGGCGCTGCAGGTGCGCCATCGGGGGTCGTCTGCTTCGTTGATGGCGCGGAGGTATGATTCGAGGCCTTGCCGGCGTTCTTCCCGGAGGGTTGGGTTTGAGACGGTGTTGGAGAACCAGTGTTTGCCGGGGAGGGGGGCTGGTGGTGGGGCGTTGGTTTGGTTCAGGAGGGAGGTGTGGAAGGCGACAAAGTCGGAGTAGCGCTTGGAGATGGTGAAGGAGCGCAGAGGGAGGCGGAGAGTGATATTGTAGATTGTGTAGGGGGGTGAGGTGTGTGAGGTGGTAGCGGTTGGGATGGAGATTTCGACGTTTGGAGCCATGACGGCGGCTTTTCCCGCGATGTAGGTGATTAGTTATGTACCTTCTTCATTTACGTACCTCTCTTCATCAGCACAGGAGTACAAATAACCTCTTCAGTATGCGTTCGGATTGAGAAGATGAGGAGAGGCATGGGTGTTGGATGGATGAATGACGGACGGAGATAAGAGTCGGTTGGGGCGCGCAGCCTAAACAATGACGCAAAGAGTCATTCGGCCCCTGTGCATTATACCAGACCACATGCAAAAGCAGACACCAGCAGATAGATGTCAGGATAATCCTTAATCTCTATTTTATGTATGACTCCTAAAGCAGATGAATGCATTTTATTTGCTAAGTTCATCAATCTTCTGCGCTTTGCAGTAGGTAACAGAAAACTGTCGCATGATTCTCAGTCCTCACTCTAACTGGAACTATCGACAAATGTCAATTGGGTATCTCAGATTTGCCTGTGTAGAAGTCTGTTTAAAAATGTTTTAAAATACGACATTATGTCGAGATCAGGCTATGTGGCAGGCGATGAGGAATCAATCCATAACTCCCGCTCCTTCAGAAGATCCCTTTGCCCAAAGTACTCGCCAACAACGGTGATGATCATGTCAAGCATAGCACGGGTCTGCATCGCCACTTCAATGGTACTGTCCTTTGGGCCCTCTTCAGCGACGTTAGCGACGTCGACATTGTCCGATTTGTCGGGTTCGAGAGCCTCATTTTCATTGCCCTGAAGCATCGCTTGAAGACGCGCTTTGGCTGCGTCGAGGTCTTCTGCAGGCGGCTCCCTTTCCGCATCTTGCATTTCATGGTCAGTCTGCTCGGCGGCCAGATCACTCTCTTGAGCATTCTCGGGCTGTCCGTGGTCGTCTTCCGGAATCTCGTCATCATCCGATTCCTCGTTCGATAGATCACCGTCTCGCCGGGCAGCCTTGGTCTTCTCATCCTCCTCCCTCATCTTTTGCAGTATCTTCACAGCCCTTTTGCCCAAATCTCGGATATCCCCCACTTCCTCGGTCCCCAGTTGCCCGACATCGCGGCACTTGCCCAACAGTCCCCAAGCCCAGGCTCCAATCCGCCTGACTCGTTCCGCATCCCCGCTTCTGACGTTTTCGGACATCAGTCTGGCCATTATTCCCAGCACACCCAGTACACTGTCCATATCCATACAGGCCAGCTGAACCGTCTGCGGGTCCACCGCTAACAGAAGCCGTCGCCACTCTTTGCGAGCAGTCTTGGAATGTCGGGGGAAACTGATCGGATGCGAATCGTCCAGTGCAGCAATCGCGCTCGATGGTGGCGTGCATTTTAGGATGGATCGGAGAAGGAGAAAGCGATGGTGGAGGAGATTGTAGTAGCTCGACTGTGCTTCGGAGTATTCGTCTTCCCGTGGCCCCGTAGCTGCTTGCGCGATTTCCGGTTCGGCAGGAGGGGCCATGTAGACGCCGTCCGCGAAGATACCGTCGCGCAATGGCGCAGATGCTGGTTCGGGCTCTTGCTCTTCTGTGATCGCATCTTTTGTCGTCTCGGTTGGCGTATCCGCAGGTTTGGGCGCGGTAAACAGGAAAGGTAGGGAGTTAGCTTCAGATCTGTACTCTCACGAAAGTGTCATTGGCCGGCGATTAGCTTTCGAAACCATCAAATGCTCGTCGCAAATGAGAACTATACACGGGGCAAATGACATGTAGACATTTAGCAAGCGGGGAACAGGAATAAGATTAACGAGCATCCGAAAGGGAAAAAGCTTACCGGACCATGCGAAGATACTCCATCCCATCCTCGGCTTCACCGTAGAACAGCTCATCCTCCACCTCGACGTCCAAGCCCGGAAAGGCGCTCTTTTGCCCATACACGGGGTGGTTGCGAGGGCGTTCGTAGGGTGTCACGGCGGGCGTCATCTCGTCGGCATCATCCTCTTCTGCATACGATGGACGGGGACGCTTAGAGTAAGGCGATGAACCAGAGGCAGATGTGGATGGTTTCCGCTTCTCCGGCATGATTTGAATGTGGGTTTGAGTTTCAAAGCGTCGTTGTTCTGATGCTACAAGATTCGTGATTCTCCGATCCAAAAAGTTCCAGCCTCGGGAGCTTGGGCCACCTGTTAAAAGGGCAGCTGAAAGGATGCCTTGGGCCCTTAGCGACCCGAACGGCCATCATTGAAAGAACGCTACGAGGACAGTCTGATCCGAAATAGTCTCTGAATATAATTACGCGGCTTATCCAGTCTCATGTTTCCCATTATACTTTTGTTTATACGGGTATGTAATGTCGTCGCTAGCTAAACTAAATGCTTAAGGGCGCAAGCGCTGGGGGTCACGGGGGAACAGACTTGCCAAACGAACATTAGGCAGGCCCAGGAAGAACATGACAATACGGTTCAGGCCCAGACCACCACCCGCGTGGGGAGGACAGCCCTGGCGGAAAGCAGCCAGGTAATCTTCGAAGCCCTCCTGCTTGGGATCGAGGCCCTTTGCGATCATCGACTCCTCGAGTTCCTTGATGTCATTGATACGCTGCGCTCCGGACATGATCTCCTCGCCACGCATGAAGAAATCATAAGAGTTGGAGAACCTGGGGTCCTGGGGGCAGGCCTTGGTGTAGAAAGGCCGGACGGCCATGGGGAACTTGTCCAGTACGTAGAAATCAGTGTCGTACTTCTCGCGGATGATCTGACCCAGCTGTTTCTCCATCGCGGTGGTCAAATCGTTCTCGAATCGCTCCTGCTCAGAAACATCAACACCGGCCTCCTTGAGCAGAGCCACACCGTCCATGTAGTTGAGTCTTAGCGCCTTGCCATCCTTGGGAAGCTTGAAGTCTCCAGCCTTGGGGTACGACTTCTGGATAATGGCAATCTGATCCTTGTAACGCTCCTTTAGTTGGCTGAGAATGAAGACGAGGAGGTTTTCGGCAAACTCCAAGACCTCGTGGTAATGGCTGCGGAATGTCTTCTCGAAATCGAGACCGGCGAACTGGAGATTGGTTAAGATCGATCGATTTTCAAACAAAACAGATGATTAGCATACCTCGGTCAGATGTCTGTGAGTGTTACTCTCCTCAGCACGGAAGACAGGAGCGATCTCGAAGACACTCTCCATGTCACCCGCAATGCACATCTGCTTGTACAGCTGAGGGCTCTGCGCTAAGTAGGCGTTGCGCTTGAAGTACTTGACCTCAAACACATTGCTGCCACCCTCTGTGGCGGCACCGACTAACTTGGGAGTGAAAATCCACCTCGATCCACTCTTGATCATGTACTCTGCGAACAGCTCCGCAACACCACTCGAAATCCAAGTAATGGCCTGGCTAGTTTCCGTTTGTAGATCAAGGACGCGGTTGTCCAGACGAGTCTTGAGAGTCACAATAGGAGCGCCCTCTGCGTCGACCAGATTACCCTCCTCAGTCGTCTCCGGAGGCGGTCTCTCGGCATCCTTAACCTGCATAGGAAGCATCTGGGCGGCCTCTGAGATCATGTAGACTTTTTGAATGTGAATTTCGAGGTTGCTAAGAGTAGCAGAAGAGATGGGGATGGCAGGCTTCTTGACGATACCGGTAACCTGGACGATGGAGTTGACGTTCAGCCCACCCGTATACTTGACCATCTGTCTCGATATGGGCTCCGCAGCCGCAATGACAGCCTGCACCTTCTTTCCCTGCTGTCTCAGCATCAGGAAAGCAAGCTTGGCACTCTGCACACGGGCATTGTCCACACGAGCCACCACGGTGATCTCCTTCTCATAGTGGTCGTCGCCGAGCTCGGAGAATTTCGTAGAAGGAACGACATCTTCGGATTCGGGGAGCTGGCCGTACAGGCCCTTGGCAGTATCGTTGGCTTCAGCAGCAGCAGCTTGAGCCTTCTCCTGGGCCGCACGAGCCGCAGCCTTCTCGGCCTTGGCCTTTTCCTTTGCGGCCTTCTTCAAGGCACTCTTGCTGGGACCCTTTTCAGCTCCTTCGGCGGGCGCGGCCGCGGGGGTTTCCTCGGGCTTGGGGCGAACGGGCAATTCGGAGTCCGCCATGGTCGCTGGTGTTTCACGGAGTTTGCAGCCTGAATCGGGGGGAAATGGGCGTCGTTATGACTCTCTCAAGCTCATGAGTCAATGAGATGCTCCGACTCACCCCGCCAACCCATCCAAGCCCTAAGCCCTAGGAGGGGCTCCTTTGAGTCACGTGCTTGTGCCTTTATGCCTTAGGTATCAACTTATACGGTTATCTTTGGCATGTTTGAAACTATAAACAAAGGCGAAAGAAATGCATTGGATTGGTTCCGGATAACGCTACATCTTTCAAAAGCAATCCAGTACAGGAAGTCTGTGGTTTCTCAGATATGGACCTATTATAACGCAAATCTGCCAAAATTATATATGCTCGCTTCCACTCGAATAGTCCATAATGCATGCAGTTCGCTCTATAGAAACTTAACCATCCAGTTGAACCAGTCTTTCACTTGGTGAGTTTCCACCCAGAAGACTTTATTCCCCATTCGACGGCCTTTTGTACATCGTCAACGATGACTTTTGGAGTCCAAGCGGGTTCTCCTCCTCTGTAGACACCAGTGCGCACAAGAATTGAATGCCAGTTGCTGCCATTTCCGCTGCGGTAGCTGTTTGCGCCTCGGATATCGGACTCTGGGTTGTCCCCAACCATATAAACGTTCCGTAAGGGTTTAGTACCATCCGTTCCAAAGATCCTTGTGCGATTGCGCAGCAGTTGTCGCTCCGCGAACTCATACGTTCCTTGATATGGCTTCCCGATGATCGTCTTTTTCAGCTCGACGCCTTTGCTTGGCCCTCCGGTGATCGCGGCCCAGGTGCCTTCCAAGGCCTCGCGAAAGCCTCCTTGGCCCAGACGCGGTAAATGGTAAGCAGCTGCCCACCACAAGTCGGGGTTTGAAAAGTACAGATGTGGCTGGCCGTCTTGCAAGAATCCCTTGTTTGGGAGATCTGTTCGTCCATTCTTGTCCGATATTGTGCCCAATACACCCTGCGATGATAGTAGAAGGTCGATGATCACATGAGCGTCCAACCCCCAGTCGCGGGGGTCATTGAACACGAAGATGGCATCAATCTTCAAACCCTTGGTTGGATCTCGAGGGTCCAGCGGGTTGGGTATCGGCCTCGCAAATCTCTCATAATAGTCTTTGAAAACTTTGGAGAATGGCCAAATGGATGGATTGGCCATGAAAATATCACCAGGAGTCAGCACATTCTTGAAGCCATACTGCTCCGCAACCTGACGACAGCCATCACCGTCACCTCCAACAACTAGGACGCGTTTATTCTCCAAGGAGCTGTGCTCGTCTGGCCCCTTCACAAGCTCCGCAAAAGGAGAATGGCTTTGGATAATGACTGAGGCGTCCAAGGGCACCTTGAGCTTCTCGCTGATCTCCGCCACTCGCTCTGTTTCATGTTTCCCACCGCCGTTTGTCAAAAGAATGAATGGAATTCCTTGGCCCTTGAGCAACGCTAGCGACTCGGCCGCACCGGGGATGGGCTTAGACGACCGGAGGAGTACACCATCGATGCTAGGTCACAATGTGATTAGCGAGGGCATTAAAAAACTGCGATGGCCTCAGACTCACTCAAATGCGAATGCAAAATCTGGAATCTGAGATGTGGAAGTGGCTGTGTGGATGGCTCTCCGACAAGAGTAAGAGTGTGCGCTCTGCAATCGTCCAAGAGAGCGCCAAAGAGATTGCGGTCTCATTCTAAGCAACGTAGCTAAACAGAGATGTGTATGCTCTGTATCAGTGATACACGTACATGAATATATATTGACAATGGGGCAATTAAGTGTAGAAAGTGAATTGACGGAGTCGGAGACGGGGAGATGAAGCGGAGTCTCACCGAACAGTGGGCAGCGGACCGACACAATGAGATCATTCCCCGGTTATTTAATCTCTTATCAGACCAACATCAACGGCCCCTCTACCTCTCAACACGGCTTTTCGTTTTAAGTACCTCTGTACTCTGCGCCAGTATCATGGCATTCAGCATCTTATACGCCCCTGATGCACCCTACTCGCCAAATCTATCTGCCTACTGAAATTGTTGTGCAAATCGTCCGTTTTGTGGCTGCAGATGAATCCCACCGTCAAGAGGCGCTGTACGCATGCTGCTTAGTGTCGCGTCAGTGGTATTCCGCAGCCGTCTCCTTTTTGTATGAAAAGCCCCGGCTACATATCGGAAACTCTTTCCAGCAGTTTGTAGCAACTTGCTCGGGAGTCGGTGGACGGAGGAATAAATTGAACCTGGGAAGTTTTGTCCGCCGCCTGGATCTCAGTCGGCTGGTGCACCATAGCTCCAACAGCGTGACTGCTAGACTGCTTGGTCGAGTCAAAGAAAACCTGGAAGTTTTCTTGGCCCCAAGGGTGTCATTTGCGTAAGTATAGACTCTCTCTTTTGGGACTTGTCGGTTTTCTTCTCTTTACAATGCTTTCGAGCTTCCATCAGTCGAGATTCGCCCCCTACTGTCCAGAAAATGATTGACCTTTTCTAACATGACTTACAGTGTCAACAGCCTTCCTGCTCTGTCAAAATGCACGAATCTCCGTTATCTTGATCTCTCTCTGGTTGCGGATCCGATTCCATTCCCCAATCTTAAGAAAGCGTTCAGTCGTCTGCCGCGACTGCGTACCCTTCGACTTCCCCGTTCAACCAATCTCGATGTCCCCGACTCATCAAAAACAGAATGGCCTCCTCTCCTTCATAAACTGCAACTGAGCGGTCAATTCTCAGCCACCACGATACCCTCATTTTCCTGGCCGCCTGCTCTCACCAGCTTGACTTTGAAGAATTGCACGGATTTGTCGGTGACGAGCATTGCCTGCTTGCTCAGCAGTCCGCAGCTGAGCGAGACCCTAAAACACCTTACAATATCCTATGCAAATCGTAGGCTTGAGCCTGGGTCTATCAACGCTGTGACGGCCTTCTTACCCAACCTGACATATCTAAGTGTCCCCGGCGATATGGTAGATGAGACATTTTTCGATGTTCTATACTTC